GTCGGTGCCGGTCGGTGCCGGTCGGTGTCAGTCAGTGTCAGTCGGTGCAGGTCGGTGTCAGTCGGTGTCAGTCGGTGCAGGTCGGTGTCAGTCGGTGCAGGTCGGTGTCACTCGGTGCAGGTCGGTGTCACTCGGTGCAGGTCGGTGTCAGTCGGTGTCAGTCGGTGCAGGTCGGTGCAGGTCGGTGCAGGTCGGTGTCAGTCGGTGTCAGTCGGTGTCAGTCGGTGTCAGTCGGTGTCAGTTGGTGCAGGTCAGTGTCAGTCGGTGCAAGGTGTTGTACATCCAGCATTGCTGCTCCCCAGGCCAGGAGAAGCTCCTGGGTGTCCCTTCCTGTCCCTGCTGCCCTGGGTGGTCCCCAGGCCCCCCAGCCAGGCACGCACCTCCAGCACGGGCTTGGCGTGGTTGTGGACGGACAGGATGTGGGTCACTCCCTTCCTCAGCAGGTTCTCGTGGTCCTCAGAGTCTGGAAACGGGAGCCACGTGGGAATTACCTGCGCTGCTGGCCACCCACACCCATCACCCCCACCCCCGACCCCATTCCAGCCCTTCCCGCTGCCCCTCACCCCACACGGTGCAGGGAAGGGGATTGGACACCTCCTTCCTTCCAAGCAAAATCCCCCTTGGATGTGCTGGGTACTCAGCAGGTTCCCAAAATCAGAAATTACCCTGGTAACTCAGAAAAGGCTGCTGTGTCCTTGCTGCTGAGGAGGTTTCCAAACATGCCATGAATTTCCTGGTGTTCCAGCATGGCTGGAGACCACAGCTCCCACATCCCTTTCCTGGGCTAGACTGGGATCACTGGCAATTGGGGTGGGGATTTGGGGCAGCTCTGGAGCTCTGGAAGAAGCTGAAATTCCCGGTTGGGAGCACAAGGAGCTGCCAAGGAGAGGAATCCTCCAGCCCTGCCAGCTGCCCAAGGATCCCCCAGCATCATGGACGGGCAGGGAAGGACACTTACCTCGAATATTCCCGAGGTAGAGGCCGGTGACAATCTGGGAGGTGACAAAAAGGAGAACTCAGATGGCACCGGGAGCAAGGTACATCTGATGTGGTGGGAATGAGCTCCGGGTCTGGTTCCAACAGGACCAGGACACTTGGCACCAAACTCCCCAAGCCATGCCAAACAGAGCACCCAAATCCATGGATCATCTTCATAAAGAGCCAGGAAAGGCTGAGCCCAAACCCCCCAGGAAAGCAGAGCTCGGAAAAACTCAGCACAGAAATGGGAGGAGTTTGGATGCGATCCTCTGGAGTTCCAAAGGTTGCATCTGCCAGCTGGGGATGGATGGACACTATTTATAGCAGGATTTATACTTATTGCCATTTAGAGATGTCAAGGCTGAAAATTCAGTCTCCAACTCACTGCTGCAGGGTTATGAAGGAGAAAAGGGACAGCTCAGGGTGTTTAAGGGCTGTAAAAACCTGCCAAAGCATTTCCAGAGGCACAGAAAGACAGAGCTGATCATCAGCTGGACTTGCTGGTGCCCATTTGGCAGAAGAGCCCTGGTTTGAGGAGTTTTGGGGTTTTCAACAGCACTGGGTCACATCCTGCCCATTCCTGAGAGCAAACACCTGCATTCAGCACGAGCTGTGAGTGGGAATGCAGAGCCCTGCATCTTATGGAGTCCAGAATTTGATCCTACAGAGGTGTCTGCACCATTCCAGCCCTTGGCAACAACAGCCTGGGCTCCCCAAAAGGGTTTGGTGGCACTGGGGGCTGTAAAAGCCACTTTGTCAGGCTGAGTTCACAGGGGGTGAATCCTCGGTGTTAAACCACGTCAGAGCCATGCAGAAGAAGTCTGCCCGATCTGATCTCTCTGTTGTTGTCCCAGAGTCTAATTTTAAACTGGAGGACTCGCATTCCAAGTGGTTATTTAAGGACACCAACAGAAATTGATCTCCTCCTCCAGCCCTGGAGGAAAAGGCAGCGCTGAAACCACACTTCCCCCACTGCTGGGGCACACCTCGAGGGTGGAAAGGGGGGAATTTCCCTTCAGGGACCCCTGTTATCCCTGAGGATGAAAATGCTAAGGTTTTACCACCCCAGGGAGGAGCATTTAATGCCAGCTGACATTTTTCTGACACCTGCAAACAACGAGCTCTTCACCTCAGATATAAACCTTGGATTTAAAGCCCTGTTTGTTTTCTTAATTCTCTTGGAGTGCTTGGGATTCCAAAGGGGTGTGGGAAAGGGGGAGGTGCAGATAGCTGTATTTAGGGAGCTGGGAAGTGCATCCATGGGCTGCAGAAGAGGAGAATGTGCTGGCCACCATCCCACTGTCCCCCTGTACCTTGCTCATTCCACTCCCCATGGATTTTCTCTCCCCAGGATCAGGATTCAGGCGGTTTCTCCAAGGCTACCTGCAAATAAACACCCGAAATTCCCAGGGAGGACGGTGAGATCTGAGCCCCTCCAAGAGCAGGAGGAAGGGAAAGGCATCAGGAGGGGAGCAAGCAGAGCCCTGGCAAACTCAGCTCACCTGCAGGCAGCTCCAGCCGGTCCCGCTGCTGCTCTGGAGGGAAAGGGAGCAGAGAGTGGCTGGTGCCGGGAAGGGGAGGATGAAATAAAGATCTGGGATCATGGCAAGGCTCAGGTTTCTCTCCTGGGGTTCCACAGCCTTTGGGGAAGGACAGTCCCAGGAAGAACAACTCCCTTATCCCAGCAGCACTCACACTCCAGCATCTGCTTCAAATTTTCCAGGCCCAAACCTCTGGCAGCTCTGTGTCCCTCACCCAGGTCGGTGCCACCAGGCTGCCAGAGGCAGGAGCTGTACAAAACTCAGGGAAAAGCAGAATTCCAGCCATCACCAGCCTGGGACTGTCACCCTCATCCTTCTCAGCACCCCAGAGATAAATCTATCACTGATTTTCAGGGGTTTTTCAGGTGTAGGAAGGGGAGCTTGTTGCTTAATTCCCACCTGATTATCTGACCTTAAAAACCTTCCCAAATTTCTGAGTGGAAGGGAGAGGGAGCCAACAAGTGCCTGAGACCCCACCACAGCTCCTAAACCACAGCATCAAGTTTCCTGATGGTTTCCTGTCCCATCAGGAAAAGAGCAAACTCAAGTCCAGGCTTGGTTTAGTTTTTTCAGAGGGGCAGGGATGAGAGGGACCAAATATCTTGGGAATAAAAATCATGGATGATTGATGTGGGCATACAAGGAGCTCCATCATAATTAAGAAAATTCCTTCGTGGATCAGCTCTGCTCACAGAGACACTGGGAAAAACAGGGATTAAGAGCTGTTAAAAAAAACCCGCAGAGTCCAGGAGACACCAGCTCAGCTGAAGGGAGAAATTTGGCAGCAGCTTTCTCAGCCCTGAAAACATTTAAACCAGGAAGCAAATCTTGTTCAGGAACCCAATGTCCCACCCCAACAAACCCACCCAGAGACCAGCAACAGGCACCTCTCAAGTTAACCAGACATTTATTAGCATTTCTGGAGGTGGAGAGGGTGTTCCAGTAACAAGCAACGAGGTCACACACAGGTGATGGAATCATTTCATATTCAAGCAGAGCAGGTTCCACTGAGTTGCTTTATTTCTTCCATTCGTTCTTGTCAAAATCCCACTGGGCTGAGATGCCCTCCACGGGGTTAACCCTCATGTCCAACATCCTCTTGGTCTGAGCTGACAGCCATTCGTCGGAGAAGGTGTGTGGGATGGGGCCGTACACTGCAGGATGGGAAGGGAATGATGGAATTATGTCCTCATGCCACGCTGGCATGTTGGGAATTTTGGGCTAAGTTTCACTAATAAAGGGGGTTTTTTTCCCCCTGAAGTCATCCCACTGGAGCAGGTTACCCAGCTGTGGGTGCCCCATCCCTGGAAGTGTCCAAGGCCAGGTTGGATGGGGCTTGGAGAAACCTGGGGTAGTGGAAGTGTCCCTGTCCATGGATGGAGGTGAAATGGGATAATCTTCAAGATCCCTTCCAACCCAAACCAGCCTGTGGTTCTGTGATCTGCTCAAAGCTCCACTCCCTGCACCCAGTTCCTGCAGCATCCAGCTCAGGCCACACTCCCACATGGATTCTCCAGTGGTTTCCTTCATCACCAAGGTAACAGCTTCCTGCTTTCCTATTTTTGGGAGCCTCAAGGCAGGGAGTCCTTAGCTGGGAAAGCAGCCAAACGTGGCAGAAACCCAAATGTTCGCTACCAAGGCAGCAAAAGAGGGGAAGCTCTGGGATCAGGAATCTCACCACTCATTCCCTTCATTTCCTGTCCTCCCAAAGCTCCACTCCCTTTCTGAGAGTCAGCTTCCTGAATATTTCTGCTATTTCCCCACAAGTTACAACTCCAGGATGGAGTTTGCTGGGACTAACAGACAGCTCCTGTTCTGGCTGTTCCATAAACCATCCTGACCCCACAGAATTCCCATCAGGCATCTCCTGATCCCGCTCTCCATGGAAGAATTACTTACTGAAGTGCTTCTGCCAGATAAGGATGATTCCAGTGAAACCAAGGAAGAAGAAAACTCCCCCCAGGATGGTTTTCCACTCGTTTGTCCCTTTGTTCATCTCTGCGTAGGTCTCATTGAATTTAATCCGATACACTGGGGAAAAGAAAAAGTATCAAATCCTCTCTTTTAACTTTTCCTGGGATTTTCAGGTGACCAGGAACTCTGCAGAGGGAGGTGAACAAAGCCTCAGGCTGCTCAAGAGGGGACAGATGTTAAATTAGTTTGGCACACGCCAAAGCCAATCAGGTCTTTCACATCAATTTTAGTCTCCATTTCACAGATTATCCTTAGGTTGGGCAAAAGTTACAGTATAGTCCTGAAGGAAGGCAAACTGGGAGTTCTCCTTCCTCCCCTCCAATTCCCAGTGTGGTTATTGACCCCAAAGCTTCCTAGCACAAGTAATTCCATCAGGAATGTTTTGAGCACAAAAGGCTTCTCAGCTGCCACTGAAATCCACAGGAACTTAAAATCCAAAGCAACAGAAAATGTGGAGCACTCAGGAACATCTGAGCAATTCCTCAAAAAGTTTTAAACCTTTCCCAGACCAGGCTTTCCCTTCATACCATGAGAGAAGTTAGAAAAGATGAGGCAGATTTATTTGCAAGTCAAAACACCCACGGGAAACTTCCATTAGCTGGAGTTTGGTTCATGCCAAGGTCAGTGGTTATTAACATTCAAATCCACGTTTGTGTTTGGGGCTCACTTCACTCAGCTGGACTAACAATGGCACCTTGTTGTACCAAAGAGATTTTTTTCCTGGCTGGTTGAAAGCAGATGGGAATCAAGAAATAAATCTAATTATTATTATTTGGTTTCTGGAAGAGGAAGGAATGGCTGAATGTGACCTCAGATATGGAACAGAAGCCACAGCAGGGGCATTTCATGTTCTGTAACAGCACCAAAGACCTTGGCAATAAAAATAACGGAGCACACAAGGAGCTCCATCATAATTAAGAAAATTCCTTCATGGATCAGATCTGCTCACAGACACTGGAAAAAACAGGGATTAAGAGCTGTTCCACACATGGCCTGGAACAAAAGGCTTTTGACAAGGGCCTGGAGTGACAGGACAAGGGAATGGCTTTGAGCTCAGTGGGTTTAGACGGGATATTGGGAAGAAATTCCTCCCTATGAGGGTGGGCAGGCCCTGGCACAGGTGCCCAGAGAAGCTGTGGCTGCCCCTGGATCCCTGAAGTGTCAAAGACCAGGGTTGGATGGAGCTCGGAGCCGCCTGGGACAGTGGAATGAGATGACTTCCAAGCTCCCTTCCCACCCAACCTATTCCATGCCATCAAACATGGAAATTGCGCTGTTGCTGCCTGGGAGGTCCCTCAGAGCCCCCAAAACCTACATTCCACTTTCTCATCCACGGACAGGGCGCTCCACGATGCCTTCTCCTTCTCCTTGAGCGCCTGCTGCTGCGCAGAGAGGTCCCTCACGAAGGCCACCTCGGGCAGGGGGACATCCCGCCGGTCCACGTAGACTGGCAGGGTGTAATCCTCAGCCTTGACCACGCCTGCTGAGGGGACACGGGGACACAGGTCAAGGGCCTGCACAAACAGCTCTGACCACTCACAACACAAGAGCCAACAGTGCAGAAGTGCAGGAATCCAGGGCGTGGAAGGGTTTAGAATAAATGCTGGTCTAACAGCAGAAAAAATGGAATTACAGAATGGTTTGGGGTGGATTGGGAAGGATCTTAAAGCTCATCCCAACTCCACTCCCTGCCACGGGCAGGGACACTTCCCACTATCCCAGCACTCCAAGCCCGCTCCAGCCTGGCCTTGGGCACTTCCAGGGCTCCAGGGGCTGCTGAGGGAGCTCAGCCTGGAGAAAAGGAGGCTCAGGGGGAATTTCTGGCTCTGCACAGCTCCCTGCCAGGAGAGGACAGCCAGGGGGAACAGGGACAGGAGGAGAGGGAACGGCCTCAGGCTGGGCCAGGGGAGGCTCAGGGTGGACAGCAGCAGAATTTCCCCATGGAAAGGGGGATCAGGAATTGGAAGTGCCCAGGGACGGTTGGAGTGCCCATCCCTGGAGGTGTTCCAGCAATTCCTGGAGGTGGCACTCAGAGCTCCAGGTTGGGGACAAGGTGGGGATTGGTCACAGATGGGACTCGGTGGAACTCTTCTCCCACCTGAATGATCCCGTGACTGTGATTCCTGCTACCTCTCCAAGCTCTCTCCATTCCATCCCAACCCTCCCCTCACCCACACCCTACCCAGAGCAGCTTTTTGTGCTCCAAAGCCCTGTTTTATTCCCTCCCTGCCCCCCAGCAGCCAGGACCCACCGTGTCCATGCGCCCTGAGGCACAGGGAGGTGGAGATGGATCTCCTCCCGACCAGGCTGAACACTCTGGAAGCCAGCATCCTGCAGAGGCAGGCAGCAACAGTCAGTGCCCAAGGTGAAATAACATTTTACACGAGTTTATATTGTGAAAAAAAAATAAAAATAAAGCCTAAAGATTTCCTGCTCCATCTCCAAAGGGCAGCACATCACTCCATGCTGAAAAGGACATTTAGTAGGACATTCTCCCACTACGCTGACTTGGATAAGCCTTTCTCTCCCTGTTTTTAATTCCTGCACTCGAAGCAAAGGACATTCCCTTATTTAGATCACCCTTCCAGAACGCTGTAATTCCAAAATAAACCATTCCTGGGCGGATTCCAGGAGCCTCAAGCGAGCCGAGCCCAAGCACACCCCACAGCCAGTGCAGGGACTCCTCAGCAGGGAGCGGTCCCAGGAGATCCCAGGGAAGGGAGGGATCCCACACAATTAATTCCCACCCACACGGGATTCCTGTCCCTCCGGTGACCCCATCTCAGCCCAAAGCCGCCCAAGCTCCCGCAAGGACCCGCTATCTGCCCCTGGCTCTCCCCTCCCTGACTGTCCCCTCAGTCCCGGCCGACATGTCGCGACACCGGTGACAGAACCCCGCACGGACAGGCTGAAACCCGCGGGAGGGGTCGCAGCGCTCCCCACTCACAGCCCTCCCCGCCACCCCCTAACCCGGGCGCGGATAGGGATGGCGGGGGGGCTCCGTTCTCCCTC